CCAACACATCCAACACCAACAACAGCCCCAACACCACCAACATATCCAATACCAACAACAGCCCCAACACCACCAACACATCCAACACCACCAACACATCCAACACCACCAACACAACCAACACCCCCAACACCACCAACACAACCAACACCACCAACACATCCAACACCCTCAACACCACCAACACCACCAACACAACCAACACCACCAACACTCCCAACACCACCAACACCACCACCACCAACACAACCAACACCACCAACACATCAAACACCACCAACAAAACCAACCCATCCAACACCACCAACACCACCGACACCCCAACACAACCAACAGCACCAACACAACCAACACCCCAACACTACCAACACCACCAACACAACCAACACCACCAACACCCCAACACATCCAACACCACCAACACCAACAACAGCCCCAACACATCCAACACCACCAACATATCCAACACCACCAACACATCCAACACCACCAACATATCCAACACCACCAACACATCCAACACCACCAACACAACCAACACCCCCAACACAACCAACACCACCACCACCAGCAACACCCCTGACACAACCAACACCCCCAACACCACCAACACCACCAACATATCCAATACCACCAACAGCCCCAACACCACCAACACATCCAACATATCCAACACCACCAACACACCCAACACCAACAACACCACCAGCACAACCAACACCCCTGACACAACCAACATCCCCAACACCACTAACACCACCAACACCACCAACATATCCAACACCACCAACACATCCAACACTACCAACACAACCAACACAACCAACACCACCTGCACAACCAACACCACCAACACCACCAACACCCCCAACACAACCAACACCACCACCACCAACACAACCAACACCACCACTACATCCGACATCACCAAAACCCCAAGACATCCAACACCACCAAGAGCCCCAACACCACCAACACATCCAACACCATCAGCACCACCAACATATCCAACACCACCAACACCACCAACACAACCAACACCACCAACAGCCCCAACACCACCAACACAACCAACACCACCAACACCCCT